CGAGCTCCGCATTCTTCAACTTCATCGTCATCACTGGCCGTAGTAGCGGCATAGAATTGAACAATTTTGAGGGTCTTGTTTGGATTCTGCCGTAGGAGGAGTACACCGATTCACGATGAACTAAAGCGGTAGGGTAGGATTCGTGGAGACCACTTCTTGTTCACGATAAACCCGATTCCGCCTATGTTCCTCTGTCTTTATCCTTTGCTCAAAAGAACCGTGTTGCCATCCCTCCAGGTAGCGTTAAGTTCTGATTTTCTTCGTGTCTCACAAACGCCGAGTACATCGCAAGATATTCTGTTCATCTCCTGGAGAAGATGGTTGATGTGTTCATCCGTCGATAGCGACCTACAGATGTAGATGCATATCGAGAGGTCAGGTCGATTTCTTTTTCTTTTTCTTTATGGCGGCCTGGTGCATCCTCAGATTCTTAGCAGCCCCTCGTCCTTCGGTTGCTGGCCTGCCGCCGTAGACCGGTCCCAAAGGCGTGCAGGGTACTGGGGCCCATATCCTTTTCTTCTTTTGTTTATGATTGTTAGACCTGTTAATTTACCACTCGCTGGTCCAGGTTGTCAGTGGTACCGCTCGAGCTTAGCCGGCCATAGATATTTTGCAAGGAGCTGCCAGGGCACGTGTCCACCGTACTTTGGCGCTCTGGCCGTTGTCACTCCCACACCACGATGAGGTGCCTTGGTCAGAATTTTGTGGGAGTGAATTATTATAGAGCCTGGGTCGGAATTATTGTCATTATATCATGTTATTATCCATCTTCGTTATTATAGACACAATTACTTTGACATGATAGAAATTCTGTTTCTGTCCTTAGTTTGCAAAGCTTCTTCTGGAAGTTTGTTAGTCTTTCTAGCTGTTAGTTGGTACTGACTCTTGTAGGCAAATTTAATTAAATTCGAAATATACTTTATGCTACGTCAGTTTTACCTCGCGTATAAATTTAGCCCCTTCGTGACGTTTGGAATTTGTTTGATGAGCCGAATTCATTGCGTTTGGCAGCCATAAAAGTAAGATACTTTCTTGAATTAGTTTTTTGGATAAAAGCTTTTTAATTTTAGCTAAAAAGCGAAGCTGCAATGAAGGAAAACGAACTGCTGGAGCTGGCGAAGCAAGAGGAGGCGATTGTGTACAGTCAGGCCATTCATTATGCCAATCGCATCGTGTACCTGCAGATCCCCATGGATTCGACGAAACTACGAATGGTGAACATCAGAAATCTGGAGAGGAGCAACAGATCACTTGCAATGACCAGTGATGCTGCAAGGTGTTCAGTTCAAATTCACAATTCAATGTATATTTTCCAATACTTTTTTTCATTGTCCCCTGTCAGTTGTACTCTTTTAATAGTTGATGCGTGTTTAAATTGTTCCTGTTTTCAAGGAAAGTACTTGAGGAGTACAGTACTTTAAGATAGTCGTGCGGCGACAACCGTTACCGAGCGTTGTTCGTCTTTTAGTGGCCTAAGTGCCAAAGTATCGTAAAACGCGATACTTTCTTTCCTTCATGTTTTGATGATCATTTTTGCACAGTTATCAATTCTCACCTATATCTTCAATCCTCAATAAGCTGCTATTGAGTCAAATAACAAAACTTCGATTAAAATGTTCATATGGTTAGTAATCGGGCTTCCATCCTAGCTCCAGAAGTATTTGATAAAATAAATTAAACATTAGTTAACATTGAAAATAGCGCTCGAGTTCTTTATTTAGGAGATGTTATTTATGTGGATAAGTTACAGACGTGGTAATAACGTTCAACATTTTAAATAATTATTTACGATAATTTCTGGCGTTTCGGACTAAGCTCAGTCCGTCGTCAGAGTAACTATAATATTTGTGTGGACGTATGATTGATGAAGCCGCACTTATTATTCGTCTCGGATGATCGTTTGATGTTTTCGGTCCATCGGTCGCTGACTTTTGAGCCAAGGTCATGGTTGATGCTGGTGTTTGCGCGAATTCGCAGCGTTTCTTTGATGTTACCGCTGAAATATTAGTTTTTCCTGCACGAAATCTTTCATCTTATCCAAAGATATTGTGTTGATGGATTATTTCATGTTCCAGTATAGCTGAGTTCTGCTCATATTCTGCTTTGATAATCTTTGGATCTTTGTTTGTTTCCTTCCTCTGCCTTTTTGTCGTTGATGTCTCCTGCATGCTGTTCCATCTGATGACGTTCCTCTTATGTCAGTCTTTTTTTCTTCGATAATATTGCCGTTTCATCGATGTACACCAAAACACATGAGCGGGAAGTTTGTACACCTGGTCTTGTTTTTGTTTTTCCGATATCCTGGTGTTCAAGTGACTAAGGTGGCTGCGTCGGCCGAAACATCGTAGCGCATTTAAACGCAATATTCAAACCTGCTTATGACGCGATGTATCGTAACTTTTTACTTGTATTTCACTATTCACCTTCAGTTGTGCCTATAAGAGTCCTTACGGATGGCCGTTACACCGATCATCATCCAAGATCATACAGGCACTACTGAAACATAACAATGAATTATTATTCGACTATTAAGGCTTAAGTTTTGTATGACTGTCGTTGGAAATGTCTCCTGTTTCTGATGGCCACATTCTAGCATGCACAAATAACACTTGGAATTAAAAATATGTTCCTTCAACTATGTAATGAACTCCTCAATATTCGGATTTAACCTTCTGTTAAACGGTTCCTTGCTTTGTTTCTACATACCTGTAGTCGTTTAAAAATACCGTTTATCCGTAGTAGTCGCATCTTGCGTCAATTTATTAACTGGAGTAGTCGGTTCTTCGTCACTAGTTGTGTTTCATGAGCTCATCAAATTTTGTGATTTTCTTAAGCGCGATAAATCAGTGTCTTGGTCAGAGCACGCGCCGCACGGCTTCTCATCTGTAGATGCCTTTGGGGCGAGCCGCGTATGCTGCGGCTTTACTGTACTGTTTTTTTGCTTAAGTAGCTGTTATATCAGCTGTGGTAAAATTGATCAAAACTTTGTAATATGAATAATGGGATCAATTTGCATATAAACACTTTTTTGTTTAGTTACGACGAGGACAGCGTGAATCATAGCTCGGATAGCGATGTGGAATCCGGTTACATGGACGGCGAAGAAAATGATCTCGGCCAAAAGACGGTGCGTTGGATAGCAAAGTTTATCGACAAGGTGTGCTCTGAAAGTTCCCTTAGCACTGAGAAAATTCTCCATCTGCACCAGATGATTCCAGGTAAGTTAAAACTGTGTTGCATTCTTTGTTAGTTTAGGCTTTAACTTATTTGCAGTTGGGTTTTAAGTCTAGAAGCTTTTTTTGGGCAAAATTCGCTATTCAAATTAACCTATCAATCATGAATACAGTACTTACCAATCAATACATGGAATTCTATCAGCGGGGGATTGACTGAGCCGGACCTGATGGTAAGACGAAGTGTGGCTTAGATTTATTTCGTTCACAGGAAAGTCACATACTTTGTATAGACCACCTATATAAGTATTCATATCCGACGGCGGATGATAGATTTTCCTCATGCGTTAGACCAATCTTTAGACATGAACATTATTATAAGCGAAATCTTTGAAGTTTTATATAACTAACGCTTGGTTAATAAATCGTATAGCATCGAAAATGTCAACAGTCATTAAAGACGCTGACAAAATAGAACTTCCCTCCTAAAGTATTTACTTTAGACATATGTTCCGATGGGCGGAAATACTGTAACGAAAGAAATGTTGTTGTAGTTTTGTCGTCGTCATCGAATACTAGCAGAATAACCGGTTTAGGGTGTCTACCCTTTACGGATAGTATCCCAGATTCATATTAGGTAATGTTCTGTGCTGTGGCAAATATCATATTCTTCATCGCCAACATGTCTTCCTCAATGAGATGTTTCCATGCGTTGTTTTGTTCTTCAGCGCTTTCAGGCGCGAGAAAGGTTTTGAAAGAAAACTCAATTTGCTTTTAGGGCCTTTTTATCCAACCAATCCAGATGCCAGTTATTGAGTTCATCTGAGTTTTTTCATGCCGCTAGTCATCAGACTTTGGTCGTTCATTAACAGTTTGTACCGTCGTACTTTCAGAAAACAGCGTATTTTACGCGTAAGGACTGCCGATTTTTTGAGGCTGTTTATGAACACCGGGGAACACAGCTGTTTTTGGGATGATGATCTTTGCATCAGTTCTTTCGATTTTTCCATGTGCCGTAAAGTTTGGAAAATTCACCGATACTTGTCTGTTCGTCTGTTTACTTCATCATCAGTGTCGCCGTCGCGTTAGCCAACATAACGGAAGAATTGAGATGTACTTCTGATTGGAAAATGTGGATCAGCATCGTTTGTCGCTCAGTTTATTGGTGGTCCCAGAAAAACTTTGATCAGTGGAGAAAGAACGACGAGCGTCGAGCATGATGACGAAATTTATCATCTGAGGCAGCGGATACGCGAAAGACTGGCAAGTTTGTTTTCAGCGTTTCAAGATTATTCAGTATTCAGAGTATTCAGAGACAAATCATTCAGTACATAATATGGACGAGGGTGAGTAAATAAACACATTTGATTCTGCTTCCAGGCAGTTTGTATATGTTGAGCAAAAAGCATGGGTCAAAATTGAGTAAAAAATCATCAATGTTGCATTGTCAACAGTTTATTTCTCTACGAAGACATTCTAATGGATTCAAAACAAACGATAACAGTCTTCCATATTTCAGTTTTTATTTATTCTTTGCAGGAAATTGATTTTTTCTCCTTTCAGCAGTAGCGTATCTTTGTCGTGTAGTGGCAGCTCAATTACTACCTGATGCCTGTGAAAGTAAGAAGCAATAATTTAAGACAGAGAGATCCACGAAGTTCCGAATTGGGTGTAGTACCACTGATTTTCTGTGCTGTTCCGTTTTTGTTTTTAGATGATAAAGTTTAGATTTTGTGCGGCGGAACTTCGTGACTGGCAGGCTTCTATCAAACTCCTTGTGTAGGAAATGCTTAGTGTCCTGCAATATCCAGTATGCGAAGATGACGAACGGTCATAGACAGTATGTACAATGGTCATATAAACAATACTGTGTCGCAGTCCTCCATACATCGCCAGAACAGCGCAAAATCATTTCTCATTATTGCTCAAGCATAGACCAGAGAAGTATGGATGAGATTTTGCGTTATACAATACCTTGTAAACCCCAGCTCGATGCAAGTGTAAACGGCGAATGCAGAAGTCAGCTTTTTTGTCCTTAAGCGCATGGTATTATGTGTGGTTACCGAGCAGGCTAAGGTCAGACTTTTGGCTGGTTACCGATCACTGCCGTCTGCATTAAAGTTGAAACGTTTTTTCCCTGGCAAGGTTAATGAGTTTAATGAGTTGGTGGCTCGGCGTGTTTCGAGCATTTAGCACATTCTACATTCCACATACAGGTTAAGCATAAATCCGTCCGAATTGTACCAGTCTAACAGATTCTTCAAGATGCTCATGTATTCTTCGAAGTTTTTTACAACTATGATACTGTTTCCGCACTGGTTCAAATGTGAAATCGTTGGTGTATGAAGTGAAGTGAAAATAGGCAAACTTTTCCAAAAGTTACGCTGCTATTGCTCACGAATTGGTCATACTCAAATGTTGCACCTCAATAGCTTGTATTAGGTACTGGTGACTTATCTTTGAAGCAGTATTGTGCGCTGATGAAAATCTGGGATCAAGCAAAGTTGTCTTAGTTAAACCCTCCACCTTTTCAACGGAAAAATAATGATCGTTTCAGCTCCAAAGCTATTCTTACTGAAAAGGTTGAGAAACTAAAGAACATTAGTTGTACTGACAATGACATTCCGAAGTTATTGTAATTATCATTTTTTCCGTGCCCAGTCACATGTCGTATAACATATTTAAAAGCATCGATTGTTCCTCGTCCGGTTCTGAAGCCAAATTGTAGATGATCTTGTTAACAGAAATAAATGAAGAAAGCAAATGGTCTGCCGTTGCAAAACTAGGAGCATCTGCAATGCAGACACAAGATTGTGTTAACCATATGGTAATGAATGCCGCTCTTTAACAGGATAAGCTGCATAGCATAAAAGAGATGAGGGCTGGCTATGCTACTGATGCTACATTTAAGGATATTCAAGAGCTCTCGCTGTGAATGTTGCGAACTCTATGAAACGCATATAAATCTCGCATTATTTGAACAGCGGTACCGTCGCTGCTTGCCATTTCAAGTCAAGTAAGACATACTAACATACGATGCTTCCACTGTTATTTTACTGAGTACCCTGATATGCTTGACTCTTGGTTGTTTCTGCTTAATTAAAAAATTAAATGTTGTTTGATTCCAAATTGAAAACAAATTTGAATATTCAACAAGATTTTACGTGGGCGATTATGTCAATCAGATTTGTTTTCTACGAAGGGGCCCTTCATAGTTTCAGGTAATTTTGCTAAGTTGTTTATGACTTGATTCTTTTGACGGCAAATTTTGATCGCTAGAACTTAATATTAGGCTTTGACTTTAAGTAAATTGTATAGTGGTTGAAGATAACAAATATATTCCCGTGCTTATTTTGAAATTCCCGGGAGCTTTTCGAGCTTAAATGTCTCAAATGGTTCAGATCATAACAGTTCAGGCATGATTAATCTCGGTAATCGATGTCTGACCCTCATAACTTAGATGATACTTGCAACAATATCTCAGCAAAACGACAAAAATTCTCGGCATTCTTCGAACGTTTTTTCAGATTAATAGTCGAGAGATTACAGATGCGTTCGTTGGAGAGAAAATTCGGGGAAGGTTGTTTCCTTTGGTCTCAAGCACCTGTTTCAGCATCACTAGCAGGCACAGTTCTCTCTTGCATGGTACGTGCAGTTGTCAGAAAGGCACTCTGTTTCGTTACACAATGTTCACTGTGCAGCTCACTTTGTAGTGGGACACTAACCGACGTCATAGCTCCGCGACGCTGTCAAATACTGAGGAATTAAATACACAAAAGTCAGGCAGTTGAATAACATTCATTCATTGTTCATAGACTGTTTTATTTTTACTAATGACATAGATTTGTTTAGGAGTCGTTGCAATGCACATTGAATCGTTGGAGCACATCTACCGAGAAAGTCGGAAGCTGCCGCCTATACATAAGGTTGGTATTTTGTTGCATATCTCAAGGCCACATTTTTCATTTTAGCCAAGAATGCTCGTTCCTGTATTTCTACCCGGAGAACAAATGCTACAAGGATACTTGAGGGTGTACCTCATACCTGACGGTAGGCAAGATACGACGAAGCTAACAGACAAGTCTTACAGCAGCAGCTTTTTACCTGCGGAAGGAGCGATATTTTTGACCAATTATCGCATTATATTCAAAGGCCAGCCATGTGATCCATATGGTGAGTGGTGTGATTCATGATATTGAGTTATATATATTCATGATATTTGGTCTCTCGGTTCTCTAGTTTGTGAACAAGTTGTTATGCGAGCAATACCGGTCATGAGCGTAACCAAAGCAAAGCGTCTCGGACAACAGTACGTTTCGCTTGTTGATAGAAGTGGCCCTTTTCTTCATGATTCTATTCAGATTCGATCCGCTACATTCCAGGTGAGCTGCTTTTTGGCTTGTATGGTATTTAAGAGACGCGTGGCACTAGC